CCATCTGCCCACCTGCCCTGGCACCATCTGCCCACCTGCCCTGGCACCATCTGCCCACCTGCCCTGGCTGTGCTCATCCTCGCTGCTGGAGCGATCACTACTGGAGCTTCTATGTTTGTGTTTCTTGTGCTTCTTTTTCTTCTCCTTCTTTTTCTTCTTCTCCTTTTTTTCCAGACTCATTTGCAACTGGAATGTCCAGAACACAACCACATGAGATCTCTGAGACCCATTATTACCTGGTGTAGGGAAGGGCTCACACACAAACTGGTCCAGGGCATTGTCAGGGCACCCATGTTGGGCACAGATATCCTAGACACCCTAAAAATAACTATCTGGTAAGTGAGCAAGGAATCCACATTTTAAAATTATTATTACTACTATTATTATTTTGAGACAAAGACTCACTGTGTACCTCTGGCAAGCCTGTGAATCACTGATTAACTGCACTTGCCACCAAGCCTGACAAATTGAGTTCAATTCTCAGGACCACTCATATGCCATGGCACAAACACCCATACACAAGTAAATGCAATAAAAGAAAAATAGGAACTGAAGACATGTAGCTTTTTCCCAATCAAAAGGAAATAAATTAAGCTATTAAGTTAAGGAAGCATAAAATCATCCAGAGATAGTATGTAAAAAAACAAAAACTGATAGCCGGACGGTGGTGGCGCATGTCTTTAATCCCAGCACTTGGAAGACAGAGGTAGGCGATCACTGTGAGTTCGAGGTCAGCCTGATTTACAAGAGCTAGTTCCAGGACAGCTAGGGGTGTTACACAGAGAAACCCTGTCGTGAAATAAATAAATAAATAAATAAATAAAATTGAGCCAGGTGGTGGTAGCGCACGCCTTTAATCCCAGCAGAGGCAAGGAAAAAGCAGATTTCTGAGTTGGAGGCTAGCCTGGTCTACAGAGTGAATTCCAGGCTGTTAAATAGAGAAACCCTGTCTTGAAAAAGAAAACAAAAACAAAAAAAAAAATATTTAAGCCTTGTAATCCTACGACTCAGGCTGAGAAAAGAGGATTATAGTTCCAGACTGGTCTAAGCTACAAAATAAGTCCTGACTCAAGAACACAGAAAAGCGGTTAGAAAAACCAGGCTACTTGCCTGAGATGAAATGGAAAGGTGGTCTGGTGCTAAAAAATTAAAGGAGAGGCTAGAGAGAAGGCTCAGCACTTAAGAGCAGGTACTGGCTCTTCTAGAGGATCAGGGTTCAATTCCTATCATCCACAGAGCGACTCCCAACCATCTGTAACTCCAGTTCCAGGAGATCCGATGCCCGTTGCCAGCTTCCTCAGGTACCACAAACTCACACAGTGCAGACGCCCGTGCAGGCAAACACACCCCAGTCCCATCTAAGCGCATATTGATGGATGACTTACCAACTCTTTGATCTTCTTCATTTTCACAGGATTGTTCAGTACCTCTCTTTTTTTCTCTTCCTCTTTCTTCCTAAATAGAAGAAAAAATTTGAGTGACTCTTTCTTTTGCAAAGGGAATTGTGTTATCCTCCTCACCAAATTCTATTTAATAACCACTTTCAAAACTCGTGCACAGGCAAGCCAGGGCTACACAGCGAGAACCTGCCTCAAATCAAACGAAACAAAAACTGCACAGACAGAGTTTACACTGACGGTAAATTTACAGAGAACGGTGGAGAAGGCGCAAAGCTCCAGCAAGTACTGAAGAACATGATGTGGGCAGGGACAGTGCAGTGGATGATGGTGAGGTCAATCTGCTTCTCATTTGGCTTTGGTGTCAAAGCTTCCCTCATGGTGAAGAAATAGGGTGTGGATTGGAATTCACTAAGTGCAACATTTCAAAACAACCTTCACCACTTACCAAAAAAACAGCCTCATCATCTGCGAAATCAAGACAACAGGATGGTTCTTCTTTTGAGGAGTGTGTGGGGTGGGGGGTGCGCGCCACACACACATGTACACATAATGGCTCTTTTTGGGGGGGGGGAGTGGGGGTTTGAGACAGGGTTTCTTTGTGCAACAGACAGTCCTCACTGTCCTAGAATTCGATTTGTAGACCAGCCTGGCCTCGAACTCAGAGCTCCACCTGCCTCTGCTGGGATTAAAGGCATGTGCCTGTGCCACCACTGCCTGGCTACAGTGGTTCTTCTTTTGAGAAGTGAGTGTACGACACACACATTTGTGCTGGGAACTGGAGAGATGGCTCAGCAGTTAAGAGTACTAGCTCCTTTTCAAGAGGACCTGGGTTCAATTCCCAGCACCCACATAGCAGCTCACAACCAGCTGTAACTCCAGTCTTCTGGCCTCTGTAGGCACCAAGCATGCACACGGTACACAGATACACATGCCAACAAAACACTCATACACAGGGGCTGGAGAGATGGCTCAGAGGTGAAGAGCACTAACTGCTCTTCCAGCAACCACATGGTGGCTCACAGCCATCTGTAATGAGATCTGGTGCCCTCTTCTGGCCTACAAGCATACAGACACACAGAACACTGTATACCTAATAAATAAATTTAAAAAAAACAACAAAAAAACCCCCACCCATACACAAGAGATACCAAGCAAACGTTCATGAAGAGCTGGCGTGACAGCGCAGAACCCAACACTGAGGGGAGAAGATGCTGAGCCAAGGCTACTGTCTCAATAAACCACAAAGCCAGGCATGGTGACACTCGTTAGAGAGGAGTTCAGTAACACTTAGCTACAGGGTGGGGGCTAGCCCGAACTACATGAGACCCTGTCTCAAAGAAACAGACAAGCAAAAATGGGTAGCAAGATGGCTCTGTCAGCAAAGTGCTTGCCACACAAGCATAAGGACCTAAACTTCCACCTCCCAGACCCACGTAAAAAAGTTATGAGAGTCACGTGTGGCAGCACATGCCTTTAATCCCAGCATTTGGGCCAACCAAGGCTGCATAGTTAAGACCCTATCTCAAAGCCAGTAACAACGGTACAGAAAGCTGAGCAGAGCGGCACATGGCCATAATCCTAGTGCTCTGGAGGCAGCAACAGGACGATCCTGGGGCTTGCTGGCCAGTGCTGATGAATCAGCAAGCTCCGTGTTGGCTAGCAAGCCCCATGTTTGGCAAAAAGACCTTGTCCTGTCTCAAAAAGTAATGCAGAGAGGGTTTGGTAGAGAATTGTTAAATGAACTTGCTGCCAAGCCCAGTTGCTGAGTTCAAATTCCTAAGGCTCACAGGTAGGAGAAAAGACCCAACCCCCAACAGTATCCCTCCTCACATATACCATGGCATGTATACACATGTGTGCACACTCGTACACATACAAATAAGGTGAGTGATTGAGAAAGGCATTAATGTTGACTTCTAGCCTCCACAGATGGGTAAGCATACACAGGCACCTACATATATTAACCACACTTCACACACACACATCCAGGAATAAACAAAAATAAAAAAGCAAAGAAGGAGGCTGAAGGAGAAAGGAATGAAGAGTCATTTACTGGCTATCCATTTGCAGTGGGAATGGTGAGGGAGCAGGGGGTTAAGAGGGCACATTTACCTCATAGTCAACTCTACACCAGTTTCACAAATTTCCAAGGAACAAGCAAATGTTTGCCATCTTACTTCTACCTCCTTTTTAATTTTAATAATATTTTTTATTATCTTTAATTTGTGTGTGTGTGTGTGTGTGTGTGTGTGTGTGTGTATGTGTGTGTGTGCAAACCTACAAGCTCGAGGCACATAAGTACTGGTGCTCATGGGTGCCAGAGCTTTGGATCTTCCTGGAGCTGGAGTTACAAACTTCTCTAAGTTGCCTGACATGGGTACTGGGATCCAAACTCAGGTCCTCTGCAGGAGCTTAACAGCAGAGGTATCCCAAGCCTTCTACCTTTTTATTAAAGGTTAAAGAGAGATGGATAAATCTTGTCTGTATTTTTCCATATGGCCTATATCAGGCATCTTTGCACCAGCCAGAGCACAAATGAAGACAGAGATGTGGAAAATAGAGTCTCCAGGCATCTCTCTAAGAACCTCCTCAGCCCCAGTGGTACCCGATGATGAAGACAGAGATGTGGAAAATAGAGCCCCCCGGCATCTCTGTAAGAACCCTCTCCACCCCAGTGGTACCTGATGATGAAGAGAGGATCTTCCCGGATTTTGCTGGCCATGTCAAGAAGGGAATTGGCACCCGAAGGGGCAAAGATAGAGCCTGGGAGGAGTCCTGTCTCAGAAGAACAGCCTGCTTCCTTCTCCTCCATCTTCTCAAAAACATACTTGTCAATGGGGCGACCCAGCAGGTACTCATCACGGTTTACCATCCCACCAGGTCCCTGGTACATCCAATCCAACTTTTCTTCTTTCTTCCTGGCTCAAGAAAAAAAGATATAAATATAAATAACACAGATATAGACCGACAGACAGACACACCCACACACACAGGGAATGGAGACTCCTGTCAAACTCCACACAGAACCTGAGCTGGTGAGCACTGGACTCCCTCTGCAGATACCTACTGTAACCCAAGCACCATTCCTGACTTGGCAGACATGAAGAAATGATGCTTATAAATGAAGAGAGATACTTTTCACAAAGACCAATTAATGAGGAAAAACCAGAATCCTCCAGGTAAGGCATAGAGATCCACTCAGTTACCCAGCCTCCACTACCAGGCTTATACATTATCCCTTCATGTCAAAAATAATCTAAAACAATCAACAGCACCCAGAGCGTCAGCAATCCCACATGCAGTTGTCTTCATTGCCTATCTTTGTGCTGGACACAGTGGCCCCAGCGGTGCTACATGTTTGAGAAGAAAGAAGAAATGACTAGAGATACCTATTAAGTAAATGATGAATGCACTGGGGGAGAAAAAGGCGGGCGGTGGTGGCGCACGCCTTTAATCCCAGCACTCAGGAGGCAGAGACAGACGGATCTCTGTGAGTTTGAGTCTAGCCTGAGCTAGAGCAAGTTACAGGACAGGCTCCAAAGTTACACAGAGAAACTGTCTCAAAAAAACAAAAAACAAACAAACAAAAAACAACAACAACAAAAGAAAAGTAAGTGATGCTTTAACACAAAAGAGGGGGACCTAAATGATGTCACAGCATTATGCTTACATGCTTAACATCCTTTCTTTCCTTGTGGGAAGGCAAAAAGGTGTGAAAAATGGAACCTTACGTGATAGACAGTACCGAATGCTGAACTTCTTTTTTAATTAAATTAATTTAATTTTATGTGTATGAGTGTTTTGCTTGCGTATATGTCTGTGCACTGAGTGTCTGGCACCCTCAGAGGCCAGAAGAGAGCAATGGATTCCCTGGATATTTTTAATGAAAATAATTTAAACCAATAAAAACATGACAGATACTTTTAATAGGCAAAAAAAAGATATAAATGATCTGTTTAGAAAAGTATTAATCTGTAATTAAGAATTGATTGTGGTTGGGCGGTGGTGGCACATGCCTTTAATCCCAGCACTCAGAAGGCAGAGACAGGTGGATCTCTGTGAGTTCAAGGCCAGCCTGGTCTACAGAGAGAATTCTATGACAGGCTCCAAAGCTGTCTTGAAAAACAAAAACAAATAAACAAGAAAAAAGAATTTATTGTGGCTGCAAATAGCTTGCCCAGCTGCCCACACTGCTGGAGTCAAAATGGAAGGTTACACTGAATGCTGGGTTCCGGCAGACTGTGGTAGCCTGGGAAGGAGGGTATACTTTACAATGGGTACCACAGACAGTGGCTTCCAGGAAATCAAGGCTTTGCTAATTCTCCTGTGCAAGTCAATCACAGACTAGGAGGGAGTCTGACAGCTGTGAAGACCAGGGCTCCCAGGCAGGAGCTCCAGGCTGGCTGGGAATAGTCTTAACTTCTTATCCACCTGAATGCTAGGATTACACCCAGCTCATGCTGCACTAGGGATCAAACCCAAAAGAAAAGTTTTGGGCATGCTAGGCAAGCACTCTACTGTTGCAGAGAGAGTCGCTTGTTTGGTCCCAGCTAGCTTAGACTCGAAATACACAGAAACTCTATTAATTAAGTCACAGCTTGGCCCATTACCTCTAGCTTCCTATTGGCTAACTCTTACATCTTAATTTAACCCATTTCTATTAATCTGTATATCGCCACATGGCAGTTACCAAATAAGCTCCTGGGTTTTAATATGCTTTAAAATGTTTATTTACCATTAATGTGTGTGTATAACAGAGAAGGTCATACATGCCACAGCGTGCATGTGAAAGTCAGAAACGACAACTTGACTTCTGTGTATATGTGCACCACATGTATACCTGGTTCCTGTATACAATATTCTGTCTACGTGCAGGCCTGAAGAGGGCACCAGACTGCATTACAGATGGTTGTGAGCCACCATGTGGTTGCTGGGAATTGAACTCAGGACCTCTGGAAGAGCAGGCAATGCTCTTAACCGCTGAGCCACCTCTCCAGCCCCATCTTTATCTATTTAATGCAAGGATCCAACCACTGTCTAGGAACTGCAACCATGTAACAGCATCAGCAAATACTAAAGAGATCCTCTATTGCTCTGTGGTAGACTACTGCTTGTCTAGCATGTTTGAGGATTTGGATTTGATCCTCAGTTCCGGAAGGATTTGGAGATGTATAACATTATATGTATGAGACGTCCTCTTTGCTCTAAGAGCAGTGCAGAGAAGATCACTTGACCCATAATGGTGTTCAACTGGAGAAAGTCAAAGCATATCATCATTATACAAAGCATCCAAAGCAGCCAAATGGCCAAGTAAATCAGCTACAAAAGCGGGGTGGGGTGAGGAGTCCCTAGCGGCTGCCGTGAGGTACTGCAGGGTGGGCAGCCTGCCTTTCTGAGTCCTGAGTTCTCTTTTGTCTTTTCCTCTGATGCTGCAGACCTAAGTTTGCCTTCTCTAGCTCTCAGGGCTGCCTGACCTGCTTTCCAAAGATCCCCTCCCCACCTTACGGCTGTGACCAGCCATGAAGCTGACCTCCATGTTGGCTTATCCCAAACAGCATGGCCTTTTCCCCCTTCTTTTCTTCATTCTCCATCTCCAGGCAACTGGGAGATTTATAGTTTTGTCTGCCTTGGTTTTAAACTTGTAATAAATTGTCTGTTCTCAAACTTTAAAAAAAAAAATTGAGCATGGTGACAGATGACCTGCAATACCAACAAGAGGAGCCTGAGCAGGGATCGCGAGTCTGAGCTACAGTGAGACCCATCTGCCCTTTTTTGTTGCTGTTTTTGTGTTCTTGAGACAGGGTTTCTCTGCATTGCCCCGGTTGTCCTGTAGACCAGGCTGACCTCAAACTCACAGAGATCTACCTGCCTCCGCCTCCTAAGTGCTAGGATTAAAGGCGTGCATCACCACTGTGTGGCCCTCCCTGCCTGTACTTTTTAAAAGATTAAATTTTATGTATTTTGCCTGCATGTATGTGCACCACATGTGTGTAGTACTCTCAGAGGCCATAAGGTGTCAGATATTCTGGAACTGGAAATTACAAGTCATTACAGATGGTTGTGAGCCAGTGTGTGTACTGAAAATCAAACCCGGTTCTCTACAAGATCTCTTAACCAGTGAATCATCTCAACAATCCCAAAATAAAAAATTTAAAAAAGGTGGCCAGGTGGTGGTGCCTGGTCTACAAGGGCTAGTTCCAGGACAGGCTCCAAAGCTACAAAGCTATAGAGAATCCCTGTATGGGGGGGGGGGGGAATTCCTTTTCTTTCTTTCTTTCTTTCTTTCTTTCTTTCTTTCTTTCTTTCTTTCCTTTTGGTTTTTCAAGACAGGGTTTCTTTGTAGTTTTTGGAGCCTGTCCTGAAAAACTCCCTCTGTAGACCAGTCTGGTCTTGAACTCAGAGATCTGTCTCTGCCTCAGGAGTGCTGGGATTAAAGGCATGCACCACCACAACAAGGCCAGTTTTGTTTTTTTTCAAGAGAGGGTTTCTTTGCATAGCCTTGGCTATCCTGAAACTTACTCTGTAGACCAGGCTGGCCTTAAACTCAGAGATCTGTCTGCCTCTGCCTCCCAAGTGCTGGGATTAAGGGCATGCACCATCACCGCCCTGCTAATTCATTTTCTTGTTCTATTTTTGTATTAATGCCTGTCTTGTTTTATTTTTGTGTTCTTATGCTAAACACTCTCATCATGGCAGGGAAATCAGGGCCGCAGGGCTAACTCAGCTAGGCACACTGAATCTACAGTCAAGCACTCAGCTTGCTGAATCAGATCAGCAGCGCAGGAATAATTCTGCCCACAATCAAGGTGAGTCTTCCCATCTTAACTAACAAAATGAAGATAACCCCCACAGGTGTGCCCAGAGGCCCATCTTAGGGGATTCTGTATTCTGTCAAATTTCACAATTAACAGTTACCATCACCATTCCTTAAATACATTGTATTTAATTTAAAAGCTCCATAAAACCTCATTCACTGTAAAACATCAGAACCTCCCTGACACATTTCCTGAAAAAATAGGACTTTCCCCTACTTAAGGGGCCATGATGTCCATGTACTGAAACTAAGTCTCACTCACAACTGTGTATGTAACAAATCCTTTTGTCATGAAGGGAAGGCAACCCCTATGATATCCCATGGGGAAAGTAAGCCACATTTCACTCAGAAGGCTTGCCCATGAAACACGAACAAGGGGAACAGTAGAGGTGACTTGACTTCAATCTCTACTGTTTATCATTCTGACTTAGGAATGCACTATAGGGTACATTTTATGCTTTTTATCTTCTCGACATATACTCTCCCCCTTTATTTCATGAGATGATTAGGGTAATTATCTACTATTACCCCGAATTGTATAAGAAAGTGACCAAAGGTAAAATTCAGCATGACTGTCTACAGCCACCACAAGGCTTTTTACTGACAGATACCCTATCTACTTATTCCCACTAACCTCACTGCCCCCAAGAACATGTGCTTGCAATACACTCACAGAGGCCTGCGGCAGCATGAAGACAGCGACTCTCAGTCAAACCATCATTATGTGTCAACCATCTTGTGGGAGCACGGTCTACACTAAGTTGGTTACATGTTTTCGCATTTAGTCCTCAACAACCCTTCCAGACTAGAGTACCGAGATACGCAAGGCTCCAGGCCTCTCAGGCACACAACCTAAGCCACACAAAGCCAATCTTAGAGTCGAGTTGGTCAGGCTCCAAAACCCACATCAGAATCACTTAACCACTCTGCAGCTCCTGCATCAGGCATGCATCGAACATCCAGCTCCGTGCTTACTTGACAGCCCCAACATCCTCAGCGTAGCGCTGCATCTCTTCCCGAGCTCTCTCCTCCCTGAGCTCCCGCTGCAGCTCCTCAATCTTCTTCCGCTCGGCCTCATGTTTCTGCTCTGCCTTCCACACTTTCTCCACATTTCGAAGGGTCTGTGGGTGCCAGCTCTTCTTCAGGTTCTGTGTGAGTGGACGGAGGGAGGAAAGGATTCAGAGGGCGGTAGGCAGAAGGGGATAAGATAATCCCCAACAGACATATCCGCAGGCCAAGCCAATGCAGACAACGCTCACTGAGTTTCTCTCTCCAGGTGACTTTGGATTATATCAAGAAGACAGTTAGAATTAACCATCCCACCGTGCCTCACTCACCTTCTCAGGAAGGGAAGGCAAGATGGCAGGTGGGGGATGCAGCTCGATGCTAAAGTACTTGCCTAGCACGCATGAGGTTGTGGGAAATGTCTTTAACTCCACTTGCCATGCTTCAAATGGGAGATGACAATAGCAAGACAGGAGGACTGGGGCAAGGAGGAAGAGGTCCACTTTGAAGGGTGACACGGTTCACTGGAGCAGAACATTCATTCTCTTCTTTAATGTGCATTGGGTTTTTGCCTGCATGTATGTCTGTGTGAGGGCATCAGATCTCCCTGGAACTGGAGTTACAGACCATTCTTAGCTGCCATGTGGGTACTGAGAATTGAACCTGGGTCCTCTTGAAGGGCAGCCAGTGTTCTCAACCCTGAGCCATCCCTCCAGCCACCCAGAACATTCATTCTTATACAAACATCTTTCTTTCTTTCTCTCTCTCTCTCTCTCTCCCCTCTCTCTCCCTTTCTTTCTTTCTTTCTTTCTTTCTTCCTTTCTTTCCTTTTGGTTTTTTGAGATAGGGTTTGTGCAGCCCTGGCTGGTCTGCAACTAATTCTGTAGACCAGGCTGGCCTCGAACTCACAGAAATCTGCCTGCCTCTGCCTCCCAAATGCTGCACCACCATTGCCAGGGAGTTCAAACATCTTTCTTTTTATTGAGTACACTTCACTCCTGTGCCTACACTATGCTTACAATGTGCCTGGACCTTGTTCAACTTCCCTTCTCAGGAATTTCCCTGGTTTCTTCCCCGCCCCCTTCAATGAATGCTTCTCCCCTCTCTCCTCACTACTTTGCTTCAAGCTGTAATCGTAGGAAGTTTCCCTGAGGAAGCGGCATATAAGGATGACTATAAAATAGCTGGTGACTGGGAAGCACTGTAAGAGGAACTGGCCTCACATCTACAGTCCCGGAGATGAGAAAGAACATAGCATGAATAATTCACTGTGGCCAGAGGTGGCGTAAGAGCTAATGGAGGAGGGTATGAGATAAAGCCGCTAAGAAGGGAGCTTCTTTGTTGTTGTTGTTGTTGTGTCTAAGAAAGAGTTTCTCTGTGTAGCTTTGGAGCCTGTTCTGAAACTCACAGAGATTCGCCCGTCTCTGCCTCCCAAGGGTTGGGATTAAAGGCAGGTGTCACCACCACCTGGTCAGACCAAATCCTTTACCGGTATGTGAAGGAACTGAACTTCATCTATGGCAGGAAGCAAGAACCGAAAAGATGCAGGCAAGAGCACATCCAGCTATCATGTGAAGGATGGATGGGAGAGGCGCAAAACTGGAGACCAGTTAAGACCAAATGAGACCAAATACACAAGGTACCTTGCAGGCACAAAGCACGAAGTCAGCGAGAACAGAGGTGTGTGTGGGCATGCACACATGCATGCAAGCCAGGACCTTGCTGTCTAGCTCAGGCTACCCTCAAACTTGAGCTCTTACTGACTATACCTCCCAAGTTCTGGAACTAAAGGCATGTACCATCCATCTGCTTGCTTTCTTTGCCCTTAACTGCCGTTCCCTCTTTACCAGGTTGTTCCTTCCTTCTTCCTTCCTTCCTACATTCTCCTTTGAGCAGGACTTTCTTCGCCACCACCCACACCCTTACTTTGTCCTACAAACGTCCTCCTTTCCATCCCAGGGCACAGATGACAATCATGTCTGGAGAAATTTGTAGATGTCACAACTGAGGGAGATTCGAGTGCTAATGGCAGCTTGTGGCTAGAGGCTGCTGAATATACAATGTGCAGGACAGCCCCACCACCGCACAATTATCTAGCCCAAACTGCCAATATCTCTGAGGTTAAGAATTTCTAGATTAGGGCTGGAGATATGGCTCGGTGGTTAAGAGCACTGACTGCTCTTCCAGAGGACCGGGGTTCAATTCCCAGCATCCATGGGGCAGCTCATAAGTGTGTGTAAATCTAGTCCCTGGGCAATCTGACACCTTCACACCATTGCACATAGAAACCCTGTCTCGAAAAGCCAAAAAAAAAAAAAAAAAAGGAAGAAAGAAAGAAAAGAATTTCTAGATTAGTGCTGTCCTGTCAGGGATGACTAGTTTTAGTTGTCAACTTCAATAGAGGAACTGCCTCCACCAGATTGTGGGAATGTTCGTGGGTGCATTTTCTGGATTGCTAATTGATATAGGAGGGCCCAGCCCACTGTGGGTGGTGCCATCCCTGTGTAGGTGGGCCTGAGCTGTTTAAGGAAGGTAGCTGAGTAAGCCAAGGGAAGCAAGCCAGTAAGCAGCACTCCTCCATGGTTTCTGCTTCAGTTCCCGCCTCCAGGTTACTACTTTGCTCCTCCCTGGCTTACCTTAATGATGGACTCTAACCTGCAAGATGCAATAAGCCCTCTCCTCTGAAAGCTGCTTTTGGTTTGATCACAGCATCAGAGAAACAAACTAATATATTGTCCATCAACACAGTTACATGAAGAATATACTAAACTAAACCAACTTTGATGGAGTCCTGGAACTTGATCAAATTAAGGATACCTGGCAAACTCAGCCTAATGGATAGATATCTAAACCAATACATTTATTGATTCAATTGGTTTCACTTTGAGAAGCTCAATCGTTTTCTAATCTAGCTCTGTGCCTCGTACATACTTCCACTTTATTAAGGCATTAGTTCCCCACAAATGAACTACACGACTTAAAAAGCAACTGCCACTTAGCCTTTAAATAAAATATATAAATACAGAAGACAGCTGCCGTGTCACAGATCAAAGCAAAACACTGATGCAGGGGATGAAACAATGATGGACAAGATTTAAAATGGACTCCTCCAAACAGCACAGTTCAGAATCCGGGAGGACCGGAGCCCATCCTCCGACAGTCCAGGTCCACGATACATGAGTAAACGCCTAGCTAAGAAAAGGGGCTATGTTCCAAGATAACATACACAAAATAAAGTCTGTGTACTAAGATCTGCCTCCTTCCGTACCATGAGTCCAACTGTCCCTCTCCCTAACTCGACTTCCCCGCCTGGAAGTCCCCTGTCCCCCGTCAATCATCAAACACAGACACCAGCAGACATCACTTGGCGCACATCTTCCCAAGTCTCATCCCAGTCCTTCCGTGGTCTTAACTAATGCGTCTGTCTTCAGGTTTACCACCCCCTTGTGTTGAAAACAAGACCTCAGTACCAGGGTTACCCACTGCTACCCCCGACTTCCACCGCACCCCTGCCAGTTTCCGTCCCCGACGCCAGTGGGTCTCGGGCCTAAATCCTAACCGCCCAGGCCTCCGGCACTTACCAGGTCTCCGCCTCCCATGACGGTGGAGACGTTTCCTCAGTCCGTGGACCTGAAAGATTCAGCGAAGATGGAGAGGAACGGTCCCACTTCTGAGACCGCCTCGCAGGACCTAATCCCTAAGGGAACCAGCCGCCCTTTCCCCGCCCGCTCTAGACCGCACTTCCGGGAGTGGCGTCACGTACTGCGTCGGCGTCACGTACTGCGTCAGCGTCTCGGAGCGATGACGTTCGGGTGCTAGCCCTAAGTCGACGTGACTAGCTAGAGTCCTGTGTAGTTTCTACCCACTCAAGGGCTTAGGTGGTCCCACTTTGGTCCCTTCACGTAACCACCTTTTCCAAGGTCCCCCAACTGCTGAAAAGCCGTAGGAAAGGTTCCGTTGCCTTGGTAACTCATCAGGGCCCTGAAAAGCGCCTCTGCAAGACGTCGGTATCCGCCAATTTAGGCCGCCTTCCTAGAGCGCCGCTACACCAGGATTTCCAAACCAACTTTTAAAACAAAACAGGGATTTCGGCCAACTCTCTCAATCCCGGCTTGTTTTATAGACATAGGTACCGTCAAACAAAATTCCAAAAGTCAGAGGTGGTGGCACTCTCCCATCGTCTTCGCACTTAGGGGTTCGAGGCCAGCATTGGCACAAAGTTTGAGGTTATCCTGGTCTAAAACAACCGGTTTTAAAAAAAAAGAAAAGGCTGCTTGGGCGTGGTAGCATGTGCCTTTAATCCCAGTTCTGGGGAGGCAGAGGCAAGCAGATCCTTGTAAAGTGAAGGTCAGCCTGGTCTACAGATTGAGTTCCAGGGTTAAGTAGAAAAACCCTGGAGAGGGGTGAGGGGGGTAGGGAAGGCCAAGATTGACCACGCGGTGGTGGCGCATGCCTTTTATCCCAGCATTTGGGAGATTAACATTTGGGAGGCAGATCTCTGAGTTTGAGGCCAGCCTGATCTGCAGAGCAAGTTCCAGGACAGGCTCCAAAGCTACACAGAGAAAGTGTGTCTCAAAAAACCAAAAAGAGACAGAGAGAAATCACGGTTACATCCTTGGCCAAGTTTAGAACCTGCCTATCTCTTTCTTTCTTTTTTTTTTTTTAAATATTTATTTATTATGTATACAATATTCTGTCTACATGTATGCCTGAAGGCCAGAAGAGGGCACCAGACCTCATTACAGATGGTTGTGAGCCACCATGTGGTTGCCGGGAATTGAACTCAGGACCTTTGGAAGAGTAGGCAGTGCTCTTAACCTCTGAGCCATCTCTCCAGCCCCCTCTGTTTCTTTCTTATAGTCTTATAGTCTTCATTTTATTTTGGTTTCTGTCATTGAGACAGGGTCTCTTATTTGTAAAACCCTTGACTGTTTTCTGGGAACAATGCAGAGCAGGCTTGCCTCGAACTCACAGAGATCAGCCTGCCTCTGCGTCCACCCCAGTGCTGGGATCAAAGGTGTGCGCCACTACTGCCCGGTCTACATGCACACTTTCTTTTTGTTGGTTTTTGGTTTTCGAGACAGGGTTTATTCTGTAACTTTGGAGCCTGTCCTGGAACTAACTCTTGTAGACCAGGCTGGCCTCGAACTCAAAGAGATCCGCCTGCCTCTGTCTCCCGAGTGCTAGGATAAAGACGTGCCACCATAGCCTGGCACACACACACTCTTAAAAAAAAAATGGTGGTGGTGTTGAGTGTTGTTGCATGTTTTTAATCTCAACTCTTTTTCTTTCTTTCTTTCTTTTTTTTTTTGGTATTTTTAGACAGTGCTTCTCCGTAGTTCTAGAGACTATCCTGTAATCTCAACTATTAGGAGGCAGTTGGATTTCTCTAAATTTGAGACCAGCCTGGTCTACATAGCAAATTTCAAATAGCTAGGGCTGCAAAAATAGAAAAGAAAAAATGAAATAAGGAAAGAAAGAAGAGGAGGAGGAGAAGAGATATCTATATATAGTCTTCCTTTCTTTTCAGGGTCCAGTCTTACACAAGGCCTCCCAAATGTTAAGCTAGTGCTTTACCACTGAGCTAGAGCCCTAGTACAGGGACCTTGTGTTAACTGAAACTCAAGTGGAGGGGTATGGTGACTTTGTTTTGTTGGTCCCTTGAAAAATGAGAGGAACATGTATTTCAGGGCAAGAATGGCTTGAAAGTTCTTGTCCATAGCACAGGCAGGCTCATATCTTGTCCAGCAGACCAAATATACAAGTTCCTTGTTCTTTTTAATGACACTGAGTCTTACTCCCACTAATGGGAACAAAAGAACTAGGAAGGAAGGGGGCACCCGGATTTGAACCAGGGACCTCTTGATCTGCAGTCAAATGCTCTACCCCTGAGCTATACCCCCTCACCTTGTCATAGTCTTCTTTCTTGTCCACTTATGGTGACTCACTATGAGCTGGTTCCACCCACACTAATGCCCTGGGGAGCTTCCTGTTCGCGAGTCTCTCAAGCCTGTGTTTATCTTCTGCTTTGGCTTTTCTTGGCCACCAAGAATCATGATGGGAACAAAAAAGAATGACAACTGGTTGAAAAGGAAATGGACATCGGACATCATGAACAGAAAATCCTGTGATTTGGGCGAATAATCACCCCGATGTCATCTTGCTCCCTGCTACTCCCTAATGAATTGTGTGTAGGAAGGAGATGTATATATGATGGTAGGTTTTAGTGCTTTAGAACTAAGAATTGAACTTAAAGTTTCAAATATGCTAACTAAATTCTCTATGCTTTTATCATCTAGCTACAGTCCTATGTCCCTGGACTTTTTTTCTTTAGACAAAGTCTCCCTGTGTGGCCAGTTTAGACTTGACCCTGTATCCATCTGCCTCAGCCTCTTGGCTAGCTGAGATTAGAGACAAAACACCCAGGCCCACTTAAAATGTTAGGATTTTGTTGCCAGGCAGTGGTGGCACACGCCTTTAATCCCAGCCCTTGGAGGCAGAGGCAGGTGAATCTCTGTGAGTGTGAGGCCAGCCTAGCAGTCTGCAGGAGCTAGTTCCAGGATAGGCCCTGTCTTAAAAACAAAACAAAACAAGGTAGGGATGTGGTGTTTTGTTTTGTTTTGTTTTTTAGAGAGGATAAAAATAATTCAGGGAAATTATTTATTATTTTTGAGACTTGATACAGGGTCTGTCTATAGTCTTTGTTGGCTTGGAACCCACTCCCACTATGTAACCTAGTCTGGCTTCCTAGTTGCGTGGGTCTTCCCATTTCCAGCGCCTAAGTATCGGGATTACAAGTGTGTGTCACCACATCCAGCGAGGGTCCCACGGCTGATTTCATCTGTATTTTTGCCTTTGTTTATTTGGGTTTGTTTTCTCTATGTCTATTGTGTTTGAGCATATGTATGCATATGGGTATATGAGCATACATATAGCAGCCACAGAGCACATATAGCAGCCAGAGAACAATTTGTGGCAGTCAGTATAGGGGATTTGTGTTTTAATAAATAAAGCGTGCCTGAAGATCAGAGGGCACAGCAGCTACACTAGTCAGTTATACAGGCCAGGGAGTGGTAGCACACACCTTTAATCCCAGGACTCTGGAGACAGAGGCAGACGGAGCTCTGTGAGTTCAAGGCCACCCTGGGCTGTGCTAAAAGAGAAATCAGAGCTCACACAAAAGTGATCCCAGTACTTGGGCTCACATGCCTTTAATCCCAGCACTAGGGAGGTATAGACTGGAGTGATATGGCTGGGCGGAGAGAGGAATATGAAGGGGAAGAGACAGGAACTCAGAAGAGTGTGGAGTCTGAGGATTACTCATCTGCTTCTCTGATCTTCAGCTTGAACCCCTATATCTATCTCTGGATTTTTATTATTCGTGCAACAAGTCAGTACTTACCCTCTTTCTACCCTGTAGGTGCTGGGAATCTAACTCAGGTTGTCATGCACAGCTCCCTTCCCAGCTTCTGAGCTAGGAGCCTACTGGTACCTGGGAGCAGTATTTTGTTGGGGATTGAGCTTGTAGTACCTAGTGCCAGCTGGAGAGGCTGCTCAGTGCAGAACGCTGGTGTTGTCATGCACTAGACCACGGGTTTAATCCCTGTCCCTGCCAAGGGAGGATGGACAAATATGGGCCCGTCTCATCTCCCCAGCCTAGAAGGAAACAGAGGCTCCCTTGATCCTCTCCCCTCCAAAGGTGAAGCTGAGTGTACAGAAACCAACTTGTTCCCCCCTCCTACCCCAGAGAAGAAAGAACACACCTGGAGACACAAATGCAAGTTTAAAAAATATAGAATAGCATCGACAGCTCATCTAAACGTCTGTCTTGGAGATTCATGTCAAATACTGTAAAGCAACGTCTTCAGAAGACAGGGAATGGAGTGACTTCTCCAAACACTGATGTGCGCTGACGGAGGGCTGGAGTGTTCCTGCGGTAGCCGAATCGACCGTTTAAGCCCATCGTTATGGGCTTCAGATTGGCATTGTAGTAGTCATGTCCACTCACCTGCTGGAGGGAATGTCCTTGGGAAAGAGGAGAGTGGTTGAGCCTGCAGACAGTACCCTCTCGCCTTCCCCCTTAAACCCAGTGAGTCACTGCATCCCCACCCCTACAGTTGGATGCTTCCTTCCCAGAGGCTCTGAGCCCCTTGAAAGAAACCAACAGTGAGGTCCAGGAGATAGAGATATCCTAGAAATCAAACCCTGCCCCAAGAAAGTTTACATGAGAACTGAGAATGGTATGTGCTGGGTCTGGACTTGGCTCCCAGGAGCTGTAAGGATTTTAACCTTGCCTCTGTCCCATCTGGAGAAAACAGATGGATCAATTTGAACACATGATGCAGAGGACTTTATGGTAATCTTGAGCCCAAAAGGTGATGGAGTTGGATGGAAAGAAGATTGCCCCTGCCAGAAAAAGTTAATCTTCCTTTTCCCATAGCTGCTAAACTGAGCATGCTCAGGCAGCCTAAGTGCCTGTAGGGGCGACCGCTGCACACACGCACATGCACACACGCACATGCACACACGTGCACGCACACATGTGCATGGAACCTGCTGTAGAGTGGACGGAGGGAAACTGAGACTCCATCTCAGCCATTCTTAGCAAATTGGTTTAAAATCATACATGGTGTATGAATTGCGCTATGGGATAAAATGAGGGTGAGGGGTACCTGACACCTCATAGTAATAGTAACTGTTCCAGAAATGAATAGTAGGTACACCAAACACTCTTTGCTCGTGTAAGGAGAGAAAACCCAGGAGGATATAGTCCTTGACCCTCTTGACCTCTCTAACCTCTCGGGAACCCATTTTCCCTGATGGGATCGTGTGAGGGTGGACAGGGAGGTGGCACTTGCCTGCCCCTCCCCAGTTTCTCCTGTTCAGATATCTCTGTCCTTGACCAAAAATGTGGAAATAATCCACTATCCAGCCATCCCTTCCTGTACCGCCATGGTCCTGGGAACGAAGAAGGAAAGAGAAGACTTGTCAGTTGGGGTGTCTCACAGAGTGAGAAGGGGCTTCACTAGGGAAGAAGGGCAGGCAGGGCCAGAAGAAACTGGGGGACACATTAAGTGTAAACGCACTAACGATCTGATCTGCAGAGACAGCAGTGTAACCAACAGGTAAGGGCTCTGATGCTAGACAGTGGGACCTAATTCCAGCTCTGCTATTAGCAAGCTGTGTGCTCATGGGCCAATTGCTGAGCTGCTGCCCTCAGTAATTATCATTGGTGACCAACTGGAAAGCGGCCACAACATTTCCATGACTTGCTTTAGATAAAAGGCCTGCCATAGTAAAGGCTAAATACACATATTTGGTTACACGTTGTTGGTTCCTTTTCTCAAAGCGAGGGACTCACATAGCTCAGAGGAAGCCTTAAAGCTATTTAGTTGAGGATGACCTTGACCTCCTGACCCTCTTGTTCTCACCTGAACATCTCCCAAGTACACGTACCACCTCATCCAGTTCAAACACCTTTGTTGATTGTTTTGTTTTATTTTGGTTTTGGTTTCTCAAAACAAGGTTTTTCTGTGTAGCTTTGGAAGCTGTCCTGGGACTGGTTCTGTATACTAGGTTGGCTTCGAACTCAGAGAGATCCATCTGCTTCTGCCTCCTGAGTGCTGGGTCTAAAGGCGTGCGCCACCACCGCCTGACTTTCTTACATCTTTATTCAAATAAAAATACCCAGCACAGGTGTGATGCAGGAGGTCCTTCTGCCTTTTTGTTGCTTTTATTGGTTAATAAAAAAATTGCTTTGGGTGTGTTGATAGGGCAGAACTTAGGTAGGTGGGGGAAAATTAAACAGAACCTGGGAGAAAGAAAGCAGTCAGAGAGACACCATGGATCCGTGGCCAGAAACTTTTCTGGTAGGTCACGACCTCATGGTGAAATACAGATTAATAGAAATGGGTTAAATCAAGATGTGAGTGTTATCCAATAAGAGGTTAGCGCTAATGGATCAAGTACTGATTTAATTAATACAATTTCTGTGTGGTTATTTCAGGGCTAAGCTAGCCCGGCGGCTGGGATAAACAAGTGGTCCCCTCATTGCAGCACAGATGTAACTTTAATGATAAACAACAACAAAACAAAAACAGGGGTGGGCATGGGCATGCAGTAACTTGGCAGCTCTTGGGAGGCTTCAAGTTTGAAGCCAGGCTTGGCTACATAGTGAATTCCAGGCCAGCCTGGTCTACTAAGTATGAGACCATCTCAAGAAACAAACAAACAAAAATGAAAACTTTAAAAATTAAACAAAAGCTTAAGTATGGTAGTGCATACACTCTGTCTGACTCTTAGGAGGCAGAAACAGGAGGATCAGAAGTTCAAAAGCAACCTGAGCTGCAGAACGAGTTAGCTACCAGTCTAATTACATGAGACTCTGCCTCAAAAGAAAGGTGGGGGAGGCTGGAGGCGGAACTGGAGAGATGACTCAGTGGTTAAGAGCACTGCAGGCTCCTCCTGAAGACCCAGTTCAATTCCCAGCCCCCACACAAAGGCTCACTGTACAGGACATCTGACACCCAATTCTTTCCTTTAAGGGCACCAGGCATACTAGTGGTACACAGACATATGTGCAGGCAAAAAAGCCTATGTCTGTGTGTGTGTGTGTGTGTGTGTGTGTGTGTGTGTGAGCATGTGCGTGTTTGAAACTGAAAGTAATAATAGCACACCTCTCATCCCAGTACTAGGGAGGCAGAGACCACTGGATCTCTGAGTTCCAAGCCAGCCTGGTCTACATAGCCAGTTTCAGGCCAGCCAGAGACCCATAGTGAGACCCTATCTCAAAAATAAATAAATGAATAAAAATAAAAGTAAAAAATAAGCTGGTTGTTGTTGGTGTACACCTTTAATCCCAACTCTTAGAAGGCAGAGCCAGGTGGATCTTTGAGTTTGAGGTCAGCCTGGTCTACAGAACAAGTTCCAGGACAGCTAGGACTACACAGAGAAATGCTGTCTTGAACCCCCACAAATAATAAATAAATAAAAATTAAAAATTTAATAAAGAAAATTCAAGTCAGGTGGCATGGGTCTGTAGTCCCAGCACTCAGGAAACAGGAAAAAGGATTTCAAGTTGGAGACCAGCCTGGGGTACAACAGTCACAGCCAGACTGTGACTCCAAAAAATAAATAAATAAATAAATAAATAAATAAATAAATAAATAAATAAATAAAATAAAACAAAAATAAAAACACTGACATTGTTGGCTCTTGTTATGAAAGGGACAGACAGACAGATTGTGCGTCTGTGTACTGGCACTGTATACATATGGGCACACACAACGCTAAGGATTACAAAAATCCCCACGATCTCTTCCAAGTGTAGCCTGGTAGGTCCTTTTTGCCTTCACACTACCGAAATCAACACTGACACTAAGGCAAAGGTGTCAGAAGGCCTGCCAGGTGGGCGGGCTGTATTCCTGCACTCCCAGCCACGGGTTTTATCTTCTATCGGGGTGGTGAATGAGATGCAGTAACGAGGTCAATCCAGGACCTCATACAAGTGTGGCAAGTAATATACCCCTAAACTACATTCTCAGCCGCACTCCCAGTTCAAAGACAGCCTGGGAGACAGGACGACTACATAAAATAAATAAAAACACAGAAAATTAAGCATCGGGAGGAAATGGAACTGTCAGTCAACAGCCTACGGGTCTACAATCCTGGGCAAGAAACTGCAGGAGAGGGGTGTCTGCAGAAGTGGGGCTCCCTTTACTTGGGCTCACAGGTGTCCTGAGCCAGCCTTAACCCTGCAACTGTGACAGTATGGGACTGAGGTGCCTGGTCAAGACAATCTCCTTTGTTTGGTTCACAGAGCTCTATGGAAGTTTCTTCGGGTTTTAAGGACCTACGGTGGTCACTCTAAGGCGCCCCCTGTGACATCACAAAGACAAAGACACCCATTTGTTGGAGAGGCAGGTTTTGTGCCCTTGTCCCTCTTGCAGAAACAAGAAATGAGGCTGTAGATGGGGTTCTGGGTGGAAAGGACCTCGTGCTCAGCACCTCCATTCCTCTGTCACAGTACCCCTCCACTCCCTAATTCACCAATACAGCCGCCGCAGGGTGCTGACCTCAAAGGTGCCCAGCGCCCTGCAGGGCAAGGCCCAGAGTCAGGGAGGGGCGAAACCTCGAAGTCCTGGGTCACGAAGGTCAAACCCCAATACTTGCTGCCAGAAGTCTGGGGTCCTCCGGGATACTCCCAAACCTACCTGATTAGTTTTCCGCAAAATGGGCGGAACCACATGGCTCCGGAAGTACCGACGAGTATGGTAGTCCTGTTGTGGGTTGTAAGGTGGAATCGCGGACCAGACCTTGGGCTTCAAGAGGCTGTAGGCCCGGGCCATTGTGCTCACAGCCACCCCATCCAAAACAAAGCTCTTTTCGAGTCGCTTAGAACAGTCACAAAAATGAGACATCCCAACCACCACAGCCTCTGAATGCTTTCTGGAGAAAAGAGCACTAGATGGGTATTTCACTGCGCATTGTTACGTATGTCAGGGACCTCCCTGAGACAAACCCTATTGTTCTACATTTCAGGCTCCCCACCACGCCCGTCTGACTGTGGTGCTGGGATTTAACCCAAGATTTCATGCATAATACGTGCCAGACAAGGACTCTGTCAAACTGTACATAGCGTCCAGCCCTCTGCGCGCACTTTACATCCATAAATGTTTTAACATTTTATATGTGTAGGTGCGCCCGACCAGGCGGTGCACGCCTTTGATCTCAGCTCTAGGGAGGTAGGTGGAGACAGGCAGATTTCTGATTTTGAGGCCTGGCTGGTCTACAGAGCGTTCCAGGACAGCCAAGGCTACAAAGAAGAAACCTGTCTCAAAACACCAAAGCAAATTTTTAAAAAAAGGCGATAACGGAACTTAGTCCCCCTCCAAACCAGTGCGGCTTTAACATCTCCAGCGATTGTCTCCAGGCTTTTATTTATTTAATTTTTTTTTAATTTTTTGAGACAGGGTTTCTCTGTAGCTTTGGAATATGTCCTGGAACTAGCTCTTGTAGCCCATACTGGTCTCGAATTCTCAAAGTTCCACTGCCTCTGCCTCCGGAGTGCTGGGATTAAAGGCCTGCGCCACCCCCGCCACCCCGCCGTCTCCAGGCTTTATGACAATTCTCAGCTGAGTTCCCCTACAAAACTGGTATCTAGATTTGAGCGCAACTCAAAGCAACTTAGAATCATCACCTTCGGGGTAAAGAGCTAAGGGTTTAGAATGATTTCAGTAAAACGCAGACCGATGGTGGAGCTCATTTTTTTATTTTTTGGTTTTTCGAGACAAGGTTTCCCTGTAGCTTTGGAGCTTGTCCTGGAACTTGCTCTGTAGACCAGGCTGGCCTCGAATTCACAAAGTTCCACCTACCTCTGCCAGCGGAGCTCACTTGTAATCCTAGCATTTGCAAGGTGCCCAAGGCTGACCTCAACTACAGACTGAAGTCGGCCTGGACTACTTCGGATAGTCCCTGCCCCAACTCCCAGTTCCCAAGGTAGTTGCAGAGCCAAAAACCAGAACTCACTTTTCCTAGTCCTCTGTGCAGGACCCTTAGAGCCCTTGTTTCTCTCATCCCACTTTTCTAATCATTCTTAAGATACCCCAGACTAGCCTTATTTTTTGATAGCTCCCAAGTGTTGGGACTACAGGTATGTGCCACACTTGGGAACAATACTTGTCTTTCAGACAGAAAAAACAAATGGACATGCAATTCTTTGCCAGACATTTAAGTAGTGACACATGACCTGACAATACTGAAGCACGCATGCGCCCAACCCGTTTAAACTGGGTTTCAAGGTCTGAGTGGAACATGTTTTGAGTTCGATCTAACTTCAGAGTCCAGAGTGTTAACCTTTACACCATAGGGGCTGGTCATTTCCCCAGTTCACTACCCACCCCAACAATGAAACCCTACTGCAATGGTGGCATTGCCTTGTACATGTGCCTCTGCTCACCGCTCCAACCCTGCCTACTTGGGCTGAAGCAGGGTGGAATATTTTGGGGCAGTCCTGGGGATTGAAACCATGGTCTCAGACAGGGAAGCCCTCTATGGCATACTCCAACCCTTTCACTTTGTACTCTTGCCTCTTCCAGATTCCAGGCACAAAATGCAGCTAAGGCCGGGCAGTGGTGGCACACGCCTTTAATCCCAGCACTGGGGAGGCAGAAGCAGGCGATCTCCATGAGTTAGAGACCAGCCCGATCTACAAAAGCGAGTTCCACAACAGGCACCAAAAACTACAGGGAAACCTTGACTTGAAAATCAAAAACAAAACCAAACCAGAAACAGCTAAGGGCTTTTCTGCTCAATGTTGTATAGAAATGATCTTCCAACATTAGAGGAAAAAGCTTGCCAGGTATAGGCACGTCCTGTAATCCCAGCACTAGTGAGGTAGTGGATGGAACAAATAGCTGACTTGGGGTTGGAGATTTGGCTCAGCAAAAGTATTGCTTGTTGCTGGGTGATGGTGGTACACACCTTTAATCCCAGCAGGCAGTTGGAAAGAGTATTGCTTGCCCTTCCAGAGGTCCTGGCTTCAGTTCCCAGCAACCATACTTAACTACAGTTCTAAAGACTTGACTACCTTCAGGCCTAAGGGCAGGGCACTGTACAAACATGGTAGATATAGTCTAGCACCAATAGACCTAAAATTAACCTGAAAAAAGTTAGGCTGGGCATGGTATTTAACCCCAGCAAAAACATGCTACATATACCAAGACTTTGTCGTCCCCTGCCCCAGTCTCAGCAGGCTGTTGTGGAGCATGTCTTTAATTCCAGCACTTCAAAGGCATAAGCAGGTGGATGAGGCCAGCCTGGTCTACAGTAGCTAGTTCCAGGACAGGCTCAAAAACTAGAGAAAAATAACCTGCATCATTATATGGATACTGCTTTCTCGTTTTTTCCCCTCCTTTTCAAGACAGGGTTTCTCTGTAGCTTTGGAGCCTGTCCTGGAATTAGATATGCAGACCAGGCTGGCCTCCAAGGCCTTGTTTACTATGTATCTCCTTCCCCAGCTTGAGGATTAAGGGCGTAAGTAGCAGCCACCTAGGCTACTTCCCCATTCTTTAAAAAAAAAAAAGAAAAAAGAGAGTGGCGAGGTATAAAGACAACTCAGTACCACCTGGCCTTCCAGAGGACTCAGGATTCAATTCCAAGCACACACATGGCAGCACACAACTCTAACTCCAGTTCAAAGGAACCAGACACCCATGGCAAAACACCAATGCATATCCCTGCAGGCTGCTAGAGCACTTAAGCACTAACCAGTAACTTCACCTTATTGCAAAGACTGCTCTCGAAGCGTACTCACACAGGTCATCTGTTAGAATACAGAACGCACCATTCTATATTAGGGACGCAAGACACAAAGAATTTATCGCACACACGAGTGTTTCTGCTTGCATGTTCACCTGCACACCATGTGTGTCTAGTGCCAGAAGGGGCCTGAAAAAAGTTAATGACTTTTTTTAATTGGAGTTACAGCTACCATGTGGGTGCCAAGACTTGAACCTGTGTCCTCTGAAAGAACAGCCAGTGCTCTTTACAGCTGATCCATCTCCAGTCTCTAAAGATAATCCTTACAAAAGTTAGAAAGTGAAGGTCACGCCATGTGGTGGCGCTCGACTTTAATCACAGCACTCATAAGGCAGAGGCAGGGGGATCTGAGTTCGAGACCAGCCTGGGCTATAAGAGCTAGTTCCAGGACAGGCTCCAAAGCTACAGAGAAACCTGTCTTGAACCCCCCCCCCCGGAAAAAAGTGAAGGTCACACAGAGCAGTTTCCGTCTACAAAACTGACATTAGTGAAGGTATCAAGAAGAAAGCCTTTTAATGAATCTATTTTACAAATGCACTAGAGTGTCATGCAATGCTGCCTGCATTCGATGCAATCCTTGGCCACAAGTCCGCACACTCCTTTGCAACTGGACCCGTGATAGCAGAACCTGCACAGAACAGAAGACAGGTTAGATAGAGGGTTCCTTGTGCTCCTAGAACAGAGTGACTCACTCAGCCCAAAGCACAGGCGATGCTAGGAACTGCCTACCTTTCATCTCGCCTTTATTGTTTACTATGACCCCTGCGTTGTCTTCAAAATAGAGAAACACCCCATCTTTTCTTCGATATGACTTTCGTTGTCGAATTACAACGGCTGGATGGACTAAGGAGCAAAAACAAGGCAGCAGTTATTACCTGGTGAAGCCCTAGCACAGCATAAAAAGTATGCAGCCTTCACCACTAGGTTCCCATCACCTACCGCAAGGCGAAAATTCAATGCAACCCACCACCCTTTAACAGCCATCGTATTTGTGCAGAAATAGGTATTCTTTCCCAAGGATAATTCCAAAATATAAACTTAAGCACTGCCCACTACCCTCTTATCTAACAAACTAGGACCACCACAGAAGTCGGGGCTCAGCTGATAGCATTTGTCTTGTGTGCAAAGGTGATGCTGGAGTGTGCACTCTACTGACAGCACATCACACCAGCATCAGATGTGGTGGACATGCCCACACTCTTAACGGAGAATGAGTCCTTCACAACAGTCTCTTAGAGGGCTTGCCCTACAAACATTAAATACAGCCAGTAATAATGTATCGAAGAGTCTACACAGCTAACATACCCAAAGAGAACCTATTACTATGCCTGATGTGTGTTACCCTGAATTTCCCAACTGATGCCCTGCGTACTATATAGTAAGGTACAGTGACAGCACACTATTCCTAAGGACAGGATGTTTTCTTTAGACTTTATGTGTACAGAAATGACACACCATCCATTCTGTTACTTTGCCTATTGATGAAGTAGCTCCACTTAAAAAGCTTAATCTTTGATTTATCCCAGGTTGTCCTTTAACCACCTCTGCAAACAATGGCATTTTTACTTTAAGTATGCATTAGAGGCTTTTCCAGCATGTATTAATGGCTCAAACCCTAGAACACAGTGCAGGTACTTTAGGAAACTGCACACCACTCAATGATCCAAGCACCTGCCAATTACTCATTTATGTCCATTAACACAGGGAAAAACAAACCCACATCACTTTGGGACCTTAATGACATCAGACAGGACACATCTCTTCAAAGCCTAAAAGCTGGGTTTCTTATACCAACTGCTTTGTATTCGAGAATGGATCAAGGCCTTGCACACCAGACCAAATGCTCTTAGTAGTGAGTTGCCCATGCAAGTCTAAAACTCAGAATCATTCTGCCTAATTCTCCAGAGGAGCGGGAATGAAGTCCTCTGGTACCTAGCCTGGCTTCCATTTTTACTGCATAATTAGAACTAAGCTAGAGGTCATCTCTTTAAAAGCCCCCTCTCCTGCATATTCAACTCTAAGCACCATCTTATGTGCAGAATAGGACTGTATTTCCAGAGAGATTCTGACTACCTTTAAAGTCATAGATTGGGGGTGGGGGATTAAGTACATTGACCAAGTCTCCCACCTGACACCCACCTACAA